TTTCTTTTGAAACCGAAATTTATATGGTTTGGTTTGGTTTGGTTTGGTTTCAAAAGTAAAGTGGTGCGGTTTGGTTTCCAAAAACCAAAAACCGAATTAGGGTGGTTCGGTTTCGGTTTGGCCTATAAACAAAACCGAAAACCGAACTTTCACCCCTAGTTAGGAGGGGTGGGAACAATTTGGGTTGGTTTTTTTTATTTTTATTTTTGAATCAATTTTTTTAAAAGATTAGTGTAATTTTTATTAAAAAAAAATCATTGTGATACGTGTCACAATAAACCATTAAACATATAATTAAGGGGGATACTAAATGCAGGGATTTAATCCTTTTTACTTTTTAAAAATAATTAAAATAAAATCCTGTACAACCCTAACTACATAATCATCCCTGCTGTTTAATTTACAACCATATTCTAACGTATTCAATCTAGATTCATATTTAATATTCAATACTATACAAATTCATAAGCAATAATGAAGTGCACTACAACATTTTTTTAAGGTATGAAAATTATGTAATGTAATAGATGAACAAACAAACAAAATAAAATTGGAAAAATTAGAAAAAATAATCCCAACTTTCATCAATTTTGGTACAATAATCCCAACTTTGGATTATTCTAGAATAATCCGAACTTTAGGGGGTCTTCTTTTTCTTCAATCCCAAACCGGTCAACAAAAGCCAACAACCTTTAATAAGAGGTCACCATGACACGTGTCAGCTTGTCATTGGTCCAAAAATAAATTAAATTAAAAAAATAAATAAATAAATTAAAAATCAGAAACTAAAAAAAAATAAAAAAAAATAAAAAACTTCCCTCCCTCAAAACCACCAGCCCCCCACCCAAACCACCCCATCCACCAGCCCTCCCCCACCCCTTCCACCAGATCCCACCCGAAAACACCCCCCACGCAGCCGAAAAATCGCCCCCACCCCCCGACCACCACTCCCCACCTGCCGAAACACCTCCCCCACCCTTCCCCCACCCACGAAACCCCTCCCTCCTCCCGTAAAAACTCCCCCTCTCCCCTTGAACTCGAAACCAATCTCCCGCCTTTGAACCGTCCCGTAAAAATTGGGGAAAATTGGGGGGTGTAGTAGATTATGCTGAGAGAGATTGCGCAGGAGGGGGAAACGGCAAGGGGCTCAATTTCCGGCGTTTTCGAGGGTAAGGGAAGGGGAGGGGGGAGGGGTTTCGTGGGTGGGGGAAGGGAGGGGGAGTGGTGGTCGGGGGGTGGGGGCGATTTTCCGGTTGCGTGGGGGGTGTTTTCAGGTGGGGTCTGGTGGAAGGGGTGGGGGAGGGCTGGTGGATGGGGTGGTTTGGATGGGGGGCTAGTGGTTAAGGGGGAAGGGGTGGGTTTATGTTTTGTTTTGTTTTTTTTTTTTTTTTAATTTTCAAAGTTTTTTTTTTAATTTTGGACTAATCATATACTGACACGTGGCTTTTGAAAAACATATAAAAAAAATTAACCTTCTCAACAGGTAACCGATCATAAGGACTGAAGAAAAAAAGAAGACTCCCCCCAAGTTCGGATTATTCCAGAATAATCTAAAGTTGGGATTATTGTACCAAAATTGATGAAAGTTGGGATTATTTTTTCTAATTTTTCCAATAAAATTTCCATCTTATACCGCTAAGATTTTCGAAGGTCTCTAGCACCCCCCTATAGATTTCCGGGGGTCTCCAATGCCTCCCGGCTCAGATTTTTGGGGGTCTCCAGTACCCCCCGGATAAGATTTCTGGGGGTAAATAGTACCCCCCGAAAAACATAGACGGGGTACTTCAAAAGAAAATTTACAACAATTCAACAAAAAAAAAATTAAACAAAAAAAATAAGATCGGATGATTTATGAGCGGTGAACGACTTTTTCGTCTTTAGGGCTCAGATTGAAGAATTTTAAGAGAAATGGTGAAATGAAATGAATTAAAAAATGGTGATTCCCGTAAAAAAAAAATGGTGATTGAAATAATGAATGAAATGAAAAAAATTGGCGAGTAAATGAATTGCAAAATAAAAAAAAATGTAAAAACCAAAATCCCGGTGAAATAGCGAATCAATTTTTTTCATTTTGGAAAAAGGTATTTCAGTCTTTTTATTATTTTCGTATCATTAATTAATTTCTGTATTTAGGTTATTTTGTACTGCATTAGTACTTGCGATAATTAATTAATCACATTCTATTTTGAGCAGATGTATGTCAAAATTTTGATTTGATAATAATCAAAAAGTCAATTTAGTTTTGGAAGACAACCTAAATTTTGTTTTATTTTTGACAATTTTTTTTAAAAAAATTTCATGGATGTTTCAATGGTGAGGAACATATTTCTTTGAAAAGAAAGAAATGCCACATTTCTTCACTACTCCTAACTAGGGATGTCAATGGGGCAGGGCGGGTTGGATGTTGGTCTTTCCATCCCCATCCCCACCTAACATTTTCATACCCATCCCCATCCCAATCCACGCGGCGGGTCTAATATTCATCCCCATCCCCGCCCCGGTGGGTACAACTCGAAAACCATCCCCGCCCCACCCTCTACATGGATATCCATCCCCACCTTATCCCCACCAAAGACCCGTCTAATCCCCACCCAAGACCCACCTTATCTCCGTCTCTCAAATACACATTCCTACATAATTAATACGGATTTGTAACTCTTTTCGACCAAAAAAAAAAAAAATAATTCACAAAATCACAAATTTTTTATATGTGGCTGGCCATATTGTGTGACAAGCCACATTAGTTTTTTTATTTATTTATTTATTTAATTTTTTTTTTTTTGAAAGAATGGTCAGGGGTTACTTGGCTAGTCAGGGGATACTCACTCGATTAAGGGTTACTCGATCGGTCAGGGGTAACTCGATCGGTAAGAGTTTACTGGATTGGTCATGGGTTACACAGTCGGAGGTTACTAAATCGGAGGTTATTTGGTCAGTCAAGGGTTACTCGTTTAGGGGTTACATAATCGGTCAAGGCCTTAAAGATTACATGGTAAGGGCTACTCATGTGTTAGCTGGCCACACAAATTTTTTTTTTCTATTTTTATACAATAGCTGAACATAGAAAAACACATAAGAAAGCTAAAAGGGGAAAGGGGAGCTAAACAAAGTAAAAAGAAGCCGACATTGGTTGGCAAGTAGGTGAGCTTGATGAACATCCTCTCTTCAAGATTGCACAGTATTGGAACAAGCGACCTAACTTCTTAATTTCTTAGGTCGTCCAATGAGTTTCCGCAGGAGCCATTTTCTTATGTAAAAAGGAGTTCACTAATAAAGCCGAACCTGTATGGATAGTAACTGATTGATGCCTACAATTAAGACTCCAACGCAAGGCGGAGAGGCATGCAAAACCTTCTCTGCTTGAAGCTGGGTTGGTGTTACGCTAGGAGAGGGTTGGTATTACCCTAACCTCATTATGAGGGTAATGATTTCTTCACGCATCTCTCTCCCTTTCTCTCATGTAACAACTAAAAACACCTTCTCTTCCTGTAGTAACACCTCTAATTACTTACTTTTTTTCCTCGTTTGAATTTTATTACCTCTTAATCAATTAATCGAAGCATATCCTTAGTCTCCGTTTTTAATTTTTGAAAGGCTTTCATCGGACTTTACTAGTGGAAAGCCCAATCTTACATTTTTAAAAGTTTTTGCTTTTTGTTTGTTTTTAGCTTATAATAAGGAATTATTGACATTTGCTACCAGCGAAAGTCCCTCGTGTTACATTTGCTACCCGTTAATTTTTTTATTTTCTTTTGCTACCACCCAAATCTCTAAAATATTTATTTCACTACCAACTGACTTACGCCGTTACTATTTCCATTAGTTGGGTTTAGCCACCGTTCAACCACCTTGCAGTCACCCCTCCACCTCACTGCCACCCCTCCACCTCACTGCCACCCTCCCCTCAACTGCCACCCCTCCCCCTGCCGGCGTCGGTGCGAACCCACCTCCTCCCTTTCCCCCACCCCTACGCAGCCCCCCTTCCCCTTTCCCCGTTCTCGCTGCCCCGACGCCCACCCCGAACCAAAACAACCCCTTTCCCCTTCCCCCCATTTAAAAACATATGCATTGCACTCTTTTGTTTATAAAAAAAAGATCATTGATAATAACAATAATAATAATTATCACATTGTACCCCAAACCAGGGGCGGAGCCACCCCGGGGGGGCTGGTGGAGGCTTGGCCCTCGTGGCCCAACTGCAAGTTTCTTTAATGTTAAAAGCTGCCCCCTTAAACAATTATTATAAACAATGAATTTGCATAAAAATAGTGCCTTGTAATCTATATCTCAGCTGTAGGAGTGGTCATGACACGGCCCATTGGCAAGAAGGTCCCAAGATCGAATTATTTATTTATTTTTTTATCCATTCAACCTTTCTTTTTGTTAATTTTGCAAAGTTCCTATTTATTAGTTTGGTTTATTTGTTATTCCAATCATTCATATTCTTAATTGACTTAATTGTCTAGCGTAGCGTAAATTTAAATCTAGTATTAGCTAATAAATTTAATATTTGATAACAAAATGGTTTATTTGAAACCATACATTGAATTTAATCATAATAATACGTATAACCTATTAGCTAACAACATTTGTTTTGTTATACATTTTTTTGGTGTTTAGAGAGCCACAAGGGCGGGTGATGAGAATCGATCCTAGGATCACCTAGAACTGGGAGGGGAGCTCTAACCACTTGAGCTATCCCTCACTCTCATTTGTTTTGTTATATATTAGTAAAAAAAAGTTATCAAAAAATATAGTCGAAACTAATTTATAATAATGAAACAGATAATTTGGAACTGAAAACATATATAATATTATAAGTCTCGAACCCTATAGATTTTAATTCCTGGCTTCGCCCCTGCCCCAAATGCTTTGAGTCATAGTAATACATGCAATTTCTCAATATAATATAACGCAACATACATATGTTTATTACAGACCACAAATTGGTTTATGTACTGTATCACAAAAAGATTGTTAAATTAAACTTTATTAGTTACCTGGTAATTTTTCAGGGTGGGTGTAACAAATCCCATTTTCTCCTTCAAGCGTTGGTATAAACTCATCAATGAGAGGATGTAATCCATGAAACGGCGATTCATCATTCGGCCTCACCTTGCCCTCTAAATGCCGAATTATTTCTTGGTCAGTTGGATCGAATCTAACTCCCGCTGGTAAACCCGGCAGGTCATTTATCTTAGCCTAATAACAAGTACATTCATGTAAATCAATAATAATAAAAATATATATATATATATTGTTAATCAGTAATTAATTAGTACACATACAAAAGTACATACTTCTTCCGTTACTAAATAATTAAATTGATTATACCTGTTGTTGACATTTGATCTGGTGACCGCATGAAGGGCAAGACTTAACTGATCTTGCAGTAACGTTATTAGTGTTAAGGTTGTCATTGCTTGGCCTCGACGACGTTGATGATGGAAGGGAGTTATTCTTCTCCACCGTTTGAACGTCGGTGACTTCGTTGCACCAAGTCATACTTCCGTGTGTAAATTAATAAGTTAACCTCTCTAGATTTATCTACTTCTCATGAGCTCCCCAGCTTAATAAGCTTTATGAAGTTTTTAATTCGCAACAAGGATCGAACAATAAATTAAGTAAACGAATACATGTATAAGCTAGCTTATAAAGCTTTATCTTTCTTTTGATGATAATAGTGTGTTCTAAGAAGGAAGGTATTCAATTCTCCGATAACCCTTTTTAATAAGTAAGGTAGAAGAATGGAAATAATAAGTGGTTTTGCACAAGATTTAGGAGCTTTTTTGAAGCATAATATGATAATAAGTTAACCCAAAAAAAGTGGGGGAGTAAAAAAGGGGAAAATGTTTTGCTTGAATCTTAAGTTTGTAATATATAAGCTTATTAGTTTGTGAAAAAATAATGTAGAGAAGTCTCTTTTAACACTATCCTAAGACAAAGTTATTTGTTTTGTTAAAAACTAGACGTAAAGAAGCTGAAATATATAGTATATAAATTTAGTGAAGACAGCAAAAGATTTAGGTATAGTGTGTATAATATAATACTAAAATATATTTGTAAGTTGAGTGATAATTGGGCAATCTATTGTTTGTATGATGAATAAGATTTTAGTTCCTATGTCATGCTATAGAGTGTACACGAAGTAAGTGACATGAATAACACAAGCAATAGTATATTTATATTTGCATCTAATTTGGAGTATGAAGTTTATATCTAACAACTACCAATAAAACATATTTCTTCATCTACACATTTTATTTTTCAAGCAAGAAATCTCACTCTTCATTCACTTCACTCAAACAACTACAGAAATCCAAAAAAAAAAAAATTACTCCTCCATTTTTAAATACTTGCTCCAGTTCTATTTTTTTTGCACTATTCATTTGTCCTACTTTGACTAATGTTTATGATTTATACATAAGAAAAAATATAGTCTTGTGGGTACTTGTTGGAATCATCTCAATGAATAGATTATTAATTTTCAATTGTTAGAATTTATACTTATTGATAATTAAAGATATTAGTGATTAAAGTTTAGCATTGGCATGCGTGTCTAAGAGAAATGAAGCAAGTATTTAAAAACGGAGGGAGTACGTTTTTATTTATTTGTTTATAGAAATTATAAGCATCATTAGGTAGAATAGTTAAAAGACATTTCTATTTCAAGTTAGTTTGAGCGTAATCTATGTTGTGTAATAGATTAAATGAAAAAATATCTTCCTTAACATGAAAGTGTTTTTAAATTTGTAGTTGATGAGTGCGATTATCAGTTTTGTAATACTCTCAAGCTCGTCGGTTAGTATTACTAGTTGTTTATTTGGTTTTTATTTATTTATTATTTTTTTTTTTTTTTTTTAATATTACTTTGATAATAAAACATAAGAAGTTGACCAATAAAGGCATTAAGAGAATGGCCTTTAAGGAATATGATACAATACCTTGATTTGTTTAAAAATAATAATTACTAGTTTTGTGACCCGTACGATACCCGGGTTATTTATGGAATTTTAAGATAAAATTATATTATAATTCAATTTAATTGATTGAAAATAGAATTCTAAATTAACTTTTTTTTTCTACAAAGTCTATCTTTATTTATCCAACGTGGTACGACACTTGGCGAAAAGTTAAAATGCTATACGATGTTGTCTTGTGGCTTAATTATAAGTTTATTATTTGGTATTTTATCGAAAATAAAACTCTAAACTAACCATCTTATTCTAAAATTCTATCCTAATTTGCTTGAAAAAAGAATTTTTAACTAACTTTTTTATCTTATGAATCTATTTTAATCTATCCAAGGTGGCGCGACACTTGGCGAAAAATTAGAATGCCAAGTGTCACAATTTCGTGACCTGACTAAAAGTTTAGCTTTATATATTAGTTATATGATTATATATTTTTTTAAAATTATTATTCTTATATGTTCTTTGTATTAATTTTGACCCCAATTATCTACAATTTTTTCACTGTATAGCCCCGAATTTTCAGTTTGTTCACCATATATATACTCCCATAATTTTTCGAATACAACATAATATACCTTTTGAAAAAATTAGGGATTTTGGCGGCTATTTTTTGGAAAGAGTTTTTACGTACAATTGGACATAAATGTATTAAATGTTGTATAACCGGCTATTCTATTATAACTATTTGCATATAAGCGATAAATGTGTTAGATGTTGTATAACCGTGTAATATTTTTCAAAACTTTAGTACTATTAATTTAGATTTAGTGAGGAATGACAAATATATCAAGTTCTAGAAATATAAGTGTTTGATATATATATATATATATATATATATATATATATATATATATATATATATATATATATATATATATTGAGAAGAACAATGTTATACTACTACTTAGGAGTACTTATTAGGGAAATGTATTAATGAGAAAAAAAACAAAGCTTCTTAATCTTATATATGAGGGTAATATGTAAACAAACAATTTTATGTAAGAAAAAAAAGAGTTTAATTCTTAAATGTAACGTATAAATGGGGCAAATATGTAAATATATGCACACTATTCATAAGAGCTCTCTTATACATTGGATGTCTTTTAATGACTAAGGATCCTAAACTCTGCTGCACTACAAGAAAAATTGTCTTTTCGTAGCGATTATTTTGTAGCGATTGTACATTCGCTACAATATGCAAGTATGTTTGTAAAATAATTAAGGAAATCATATCATTTTACAATCACCATGGTTTTCCCATGTAAAATTGATACGGAAAACATAATAATACATATCCACACTATATTTGCACATTTATAAAATAATGAGAAATCGCATCATTTACAATCACCACTAAATCCCAAAAATCGATATGAAAAGCCTTTCTACACTAGATATATGGCAACAGGGGATATTGTATCGAATGACCATTCGTTGGAAAGTTTTTTTGTTGCAATTACAATCAATACTAAAGGTTAAAATAATCGCTACGAAAAGGTTATTTTCTTGTAGTTGTTAACTCTATTAACCTATCAACCCCTAATTGACATATAATTAACCCATACTAATAATTCTATAATTTAGCTCTCTTAGAGCATCTCCAATGGTATACAAATAGGGACTTTCTTGCAAATTAATTAAAATTACAAACATGTAGTTTATCATTAGAGTGAAAAACTGATGTAGCTAGGTTAAGCAACGTTGCTCAAACAAGCTACGTTGCTTGATTTTTCAAAGATAATGTCACCCATTAAACATATGACATTTGCATAATAAAAACTATTTTAATTATAGGATTTTTTGTGAAAAACTACCTTTTAAACTCCAGATTTTTTGAAAAACTACCCTAAAAACAAAATGTTGTAATTAACTACCTTATATAATATAAAATGTTGTAATTGACTACCTTCTACCGGAATGACACATTTGACTTTTATTTCTCAACGTTGACCATGTCACGTGACCCTTTAATGACTTAATCCCCCTCTTTTTCCCAAATTTTCCCGCTTTACACCAATTCAGCCCATATAATTATCAAAGGGGTTGCAAATAAACAATATAAAATATGACTAATCGTATTGTTAAGGAAAATAGTTGGTATATATAAAGCGGGAAAATTTGGGAGAAAGGGGGGAATTGAATTAAGTCATTAAAGGGTCATGTGACCCTCACATGAATGTTCAACACCGGAAAATAAAAATCAAATGTGTTATTGCGGTGGGAGGTAGTCAATTTCAACATTTTATACTTTATAAGGTAGTTAATTGCAACATTTTATACTTTATAAGATAGTTAATTACAACATTTTGTTTTTAGGGTAGTTTTTCGCAAAATTCAATGTTTAAAGGTAGTTTTTCACAAAATATCCTTAATTATTTATATTTCTTCCAAGCTACAATATGCTACGATCAACCATTGGAGCACTTTGTAGCTACAAAATATATTAGCTTGAATATTTGATGCGTCAAGGTAAGCTACAAAGTATTGTAGCTTACCATTGGAAATGCTCTTATCTCTCTCCTTTGGCAATAACCACTAGACCCCCAACATTGACAAATCATCTACCCCCGAAAACTCCGTCCTCCATCGAAGACTAATTCAACCCCCTTGCTGGTGGTTACTAAAACTAGACTAGCACTACATCCACCTGACTCCACTTCCCAACCCTTAAAAACACCCCTTCGCTTCCTTCACCCCTGAAACCACCACCAATCCTTTCCCCCACCTTGAAACCACCCAAAATCCCTTCCCTCACCCCTGAAACCACTTCAAACTCCTTCCCTTACACCCGAAACTACCTTTTCTCCTCCCCAAACTCGAAACCACCTTTTCTCTTCCCCACCCTAGAAACCACTTCCTCCCCCCTCGAAATATTGTTACCCGGTGACTGGTTTGTGGTGGGGAGAAATTTCTACAATAAAAAATTAATTATTAATTAATATTATTAATTTATATTTAAATTTAAGAAAAAAGAACGAATTGATCAAATTGACATGTGGCATAGTTAATCAAATGATTAACAAAGTTAAAAACCTTTAGTCATCCATTAGATGTATATGGTGTTTTTTTTTTTAATTAAAGGGTAGATATTGCAAGTTTTTTTTTTTTGGATATAATTAGGGTTATAGTTATAGGGTTGTACTTGATAAAAAGTGAAAAAAAATCATTAAAAAAAATTAAAAGTGAGTAAAACATATAAAAAAGGATGAATATAGAAAATGGGTAAAACTTAGAAAAAAAGATGAAAAGTAGAATAAAAAAAATTGAGGGAGTGTAGAGCCCAAAATTACACTCCCTCAAATTTTTTTATTCTACTTTTCATCTTTATATATATATATATATATATATATATATATATATATATATATATATATATATATATATATATATATATATATATATATATATATATATATAGGACCAGGTTATAATGAGAACCTATTCTAGAATAGGAACTAGGAACAAATCTGGACCGTCAGATGTAGAAGAAGAGGCGTGCGATCTGACGGCCCATATTTGTTCAGACAAATTAATTACAAAATTCAATTCAGGTGCCTTTTCTCTCTCCTCTCTCTCTCTCTCTTCGAAATTTTCTGACTCTTTCCGTGATTTTCTCTCTTTTAATCGCCATCTTCAACTGCAAAAAAACCTTTGAAAACCGCCATAACCGTCAAATAAACTGCTCAATCTTGCTATAAAATTACAATTTAATGTTCTATTGTATACATTTTTCAATTTCGGAACAAAAATTTTCGAAAATTGGCGAAAATTGACGAATATAAGGTATTTTATTACAACTTCGAAGTTCATACTATTTTGTTTATTTTTGTTGCTATTTTATACTTATATTTGTGTTTTTTGCTTGATTATGTTAGATTTGAAGTAGCTGAACTTGAATCCGAGAAATTCAGAGTTCAAATTTAGTGTTTTTAGTTTGATTTCTTCATAATAAGGTATTATCGCAAATTAATTCATTTTTGTTCAAATTATGA